TGTGGACATCATTTTTCTCAGAAACTACATCATGTAAAAACATAATTCTTTGTTGTTACACTCATCAGGTCCCAATCAGCCTAAATAGCAAAGAGAAATTAAAAATGCACGCCATGCAAGAGTTCGGGTCTTAGGAGGTTAAAAGTTGACGTTGCAGTAGCTATTCTCTGCAAATAGTAATTTTAGAAGATTTTAGAAACAGGATTTTAAACTTTCCTAAAACAGAATGCGATTGTTTTAACTGATGAAACGGNTAGAAGATTTTAGAAACAGGATTTTAAACTTTCCTAAAACTAAAAGTAACTAAAACTAAAAAAAAGAATGCGATTGTTTTAACTGATGAAACGATTGGCTGTTTATAATCTTGGCATAAAATTTTCCTTATGTGTTATTTTTATTACAGTTTTGTAATTTTATTGTTTGTTATTCAAATTGTATTGTACATTCTTTCTGGACTCTCAGCTCATGAATTGTTATTGTTATGTTATGTAATTGTTATGTTAAATGTATTTTCACATTCAGGTCTCTCTTGAAAATTAGATTTCCATCTCTGCATTATGTGTTTACTATTGATTGCATCTTGTTAACTTCGATGTTGACAGCAGTCATCAGTATCAGCTAATCAAAAACACTGTGAAATGACTCACATACAGACAACAGACGTCCTCAGCACAGTTTCAATTAACCAGCACAGAAAGGTGTCAATAAACAGGCCTTGAAATCCAAGTATTACTCAAGTAGCACTCAGTATCATAGTGTCTTGGTGTCAGTAGTGTAAGATGATACAACAAAGCCTTTCAGTCATGTGATAAACAATAACTGTGAAAAGAAAGAATCCATCTTTTCTACATCAGGTTTAATATGCTAACATGCTCCATTTGTATCTGCAGTCCCCAGAGTGGGAAGCACACACTGAGGTGTTGAGACTGGGTTAGTGCCCAAACAGACCGTGGCAGGTTGATGTATGGTGTTTCTGCTCACCTTTGCTCTGCGGGATTAGATAAAACATGAGTCGGGATCTGTCATTTGAACGCAAAGAGCCCGGGGCTCCACAGCGATATAAAGCAGCCCAAGAGATTTTGGTGCAATGCAGCAATGAAATGAAGTAGGAAATGTGTTCTAACTAACTTTGTGCACGGCCAAGACGATGAGACACTAACTCCCTCTGGCCACGGATGCATCTAAGCACCAGGATGAGCAGCAAAATCTCACCATCCTGTGGCTTCAGATCAATAACTCCAATTCCTGTGGCTAGTGGGATTCATGCTACAACATGCTGCACAATAAAACTTTGTCAGTGTTGTTGTATAAGACCGTAACCACAAGAAAGAGAATATCATTTGTCAAAATGACTTTGGTTAATATGTCTGTTTTCTTTCTTGCCCAGAATGAGATGAGAAGATCAATACCACTCATATCTGTGTATTAAGCCAGGAGACAATTAGCTTAGCTTATCATGAAGACTAGAAGCAGGGGGAGACAGCTAGCTTGGCTCTGTCCAAAGATTTTAGGGTAAAGTTATGTAACATAACTATTTCTTGACAAATAATTGTTTGTCAGTCGACTCAGCACTTCTGTGCAGCAGAAAAAACGAGATACAAATTACTTCTTACTTCCTGATTGAGAAATGTGGATCAGGCCTTGTGCACCGCCCACCACCTGCTCGCTCCAGGTGGACAGGTGAAAGAGCAGAGAGTATGAAGATGGCCAGAGGTGGAAACATCAGAGAGACTCAGCCACATGTTTGAGCCTCAGTCAGACCAGAGACCAACAGACGGATCAGAGCGGTTAGCACAGATAGCATCTGTTTATCTAGTTAGTTAGCTTGTAACTGGCAGTGGCTGCTAACTATAATTCTCTGTACTGACAAGGTTCCAGGTTAATTTAGCCCCGCCCCCTCGTCCCCACAAAATGACGGGATTGGTTCGTTAGTTTCTGGTGTATGTGTCACAGCAGTTCAAGGTGGAAATACTCAGTCATGGTGCTGATTATTTCATTCATGATATGTCTTGTATTATATAGAAAACACCACATGGACACGTTAACAAGGTTAAACACCGAATTTTCATCTTTAACTTTGGAGGGAGCTAGCTGG